TATCATAAAAAAAATTTTTATTTTAAAAAATTTCGATTTAAGCCAAATCTTTCGATTTATTTTAAAAAATTATTTTCGAAAATTTTACGGGTCCCTGATCTGATTTTAGTCTTTGTGCATTGTTACACCATTCATTATTTTAAATTTGGTTTGAAAATTTTTGGTGTTGTTAAGATGGCAGGAAATTTGCCAGATTTATGCCTTCTCGGTATCTTCAAACATTTGAATGATGATTATAAAACTTTGTATTCTTGCACATTTGTTAATAAACGATGGAGTTACTCATCTATTCCAATATTATGGACAAATCCGTTCGAGCTGATCAGTTCATTTAAAAAACCTAAACTTTTAAAACCTTTATTAGATACCTATCTTTCTTTTTTACCTCAAAGTCAATCACAAGAACTTGAAATCAAACCAAGATTTAATCGAAATACCATGACCTTCAATTATCCTGTATACTTTCGTCATATGAATTTATTATTGATTTTTGGTGGTATAGAACATTGGTATCAACAAGAACCTACGCGTGAAAACTATTCATGTACTTTATCGAAAGAAATCTCAATTTGTGAAGCATTGGTTGAATATTTCTTTATTCATTCTTCTAAAATTGACACACTTGTTATTCGTAATTTTGATTATTTTGACATCTTAAACCTTCCTGGCTCTACAAATGTTCTTTCAAAAATTCACACACTAGTTTTCGATCATGATGTTTTCAATCAATTTTCAACTTTATCAAGTTTAAATCAAAATATCAGATCGTTAACATGCTACATTGAACCTCCTCATCTCGGGTTAATTGATAGTTTAAAACAACTTATTCGATCTCAAAAAAATTTAATTGATATTACAATCTCTGAACCTGAACCTGACGAAAGAGAAAAACCCTTTCCGATGTATTGGGAAATATTTCATTCTTCAATAAATGTTACATCGACAATTACTTTTATAGAGTTTGAAGGTATCGAATTTCCTCGAAATTTTTCTTTATTCCATCATTTATCTTCATTTATCAATTTACAATACCTCAAATTTAATGGTTGTGATTTATTGGGTATTTTTTACATGAAATTAATTCCTATCGTCCTTTAGCTTTTAAAAAATTAAATACTATCATCGTTATTGAAACGTCTCTCAACATAGAGTTATTAAAGATCCTTTTACAGTTATCAGGTGAAGAATTGAGATGTTTGGAATTATTGGATATGAAAATCGCTAAATTTAATTATATTATAAAATGGTTGGAAGTTTTTTGTTTGAAATTAAGAAGATTGGTGGTTATGGATCGATCAAATAAGTTGGAATTCAAGATTTTTTTCAAAAATTTGATAATCTGCCGTATGTAATTATTAATGGAGAAAAATTTACACAAAAAAAAATTATTATCCCATTAAAGCCTCGATGTGCCGCAATTTTTGATTAAACCAAATTAGGATTTAATCTACAAATATAATGTCGCGTTTATAAATTTTATAATTTTATAAAACCCTTTATAAAAAAAATTTTCTTTTTCAATTAAAAACTATTTTCAAATGGCATCATCATCGAATTCGCATGAACAATCGGGTTCATTTGCCTCATCTTCTGCACATGCAACGCCTCATATAACGCTTACTTTACCACGTAAAAGTCGAGCAAAAGATTTATTAAGAAAGTATTATACATTAGATGGAAAAAAAGCCGATCCTTTAGACATTGGTTTGTTATTTTTTTTAATTCATTTATTTATTTCAAGGTTCAATTCACTGACTTTATTAAAATAATATTTTTTTTTAGACAATTCTGCTTTTGAAGCTGAAAAATATGTTAATAATATGCTTGTCGAAAAACATCTTAGTGAATTGATGCAAAGAGATAATGATTTGAGTACTGGTAAAATATTTAATAATATTTTTTTTTTTATAATTCATTTAATTAATTCTGATAACATTAAAATTATTATATTATAAATTCCTCTCAAGAAATTAGACAACTTGATGGAGACATGAAAACCTTGGTTTATGAAAATTATAGTAAATTTATAAGTGCTACTGATACCATTAGAAAGGTAAAAATAATAACAAATAAATAAAAATCAAATAAATATTACAATCAAGTAAAAACAAATTTGAATTTTTTTTTTTTTTTTAAAAAAAGTATCTTTTATTTTAGATGAAAAGTAATGTAGAAAATATGGAATCAGAAATGGATCAACTTTCTCAAAGTATTAAGAATATCTCAAATGTTACAACTTCAGTAAATTCAGCTTTAGGTCCAAAACGTGATAAAATTCGTCAGTTAACCGGGGTCCATGATTTATTAAAAAAGGTATTTTAAACAATGTGATAATTTATCACGACCTCCTCTTAATTTAATTATTATTTATATAACATTATTTTGAACTACCAAAGATTCAATTCATATTTGAATTACCAACAAGGTTAAATCATTGTTTGGATCAAAAATCTTATGCTCAAGCAGTTAGATATTATGCAAAAACTTCAAGGCTTTTGGATCATTATAGGAATTTATCGGTGTTTAGTTCTATTGAAATGGAATGTAAAGAAATTATGGATAAAGTTACAAAAAGGATACGTGAAAATATGACACAAGAGGATGTATGTAACATATTCATTTTTATAATTTGTAAATCCTTATTTAATTTATCTTATATCTTATTTTAGGCAACTGGATCAGAGATATCAGATTGTATGGCATTACTAATCACATTAAAAGAGCTTCCACAAAAACTTGCAAAAGAATATTTGGAACTGTATAATATAATTTGTAACTTTGTTTTTCTTTTTTGAACCAATCTACCTTATAGATTTATTAACTATGTTGCAAAAATATTTTTTAGTCAAAAAAAGTTTCTCTCAAATCTTTTGGAAAAAACAATTAGAGAGATGTCATCAATTCAAATCGATCCTCCATTAGAGTTGTCTCATGATAATCACGATAGTTCAAATCATACAAAAGAATTGTCACCAAATTCTTCGAAAAAGTTGGCAAAAACAAAATTAAATTTTCTGAATCAAAAATTCCTGAAAGAATTAAATAAATTTGTTGAATCTTTTAATGGATTTTTCTTAACGCCTTCAAGAGAAACTCGTGAAGTAAAATCTCCAGGAAAATCCCCTAAGAGTGCGGGAAGTGATATTTTGAGATTCGTTTCTGCTAATTTGGATGGTGATGTATGTGAAAATACTTTTATTATTTAACGATGTAAAATATTTTGTATCTTAAATTCATTTATTTTAGGATAGAGACATTGCACGTCAAAATTTCATGGAATTCATTGACTCAATCGCAACAGAATATTTTGCAGTCGTGGACAATTTGCTAGATTTTCCTGTAATTATCATTTCATTCAAAATATATATTATTTTATTATAAAACGTCATCTCAATTTTATTATTTTAATACTTTAGGAAGCAGTTACAAATCTTAAACCATCAACACATTTGCAACTATTAAATGATCTTTATTATGCTACTTTATCTTGCAATAGTCTTTGTACAATTGCAAGATTTGAAGATCGTGTTAATGATATAATTGTTGATTGGGAAATTAAATTGGCTAAAAGTTTGTTTGGAACTGCTGAAAAGGAATTGATGGGTAGGGTAATATTTATATTAATTAAATAGATTGATATTTAAAAAAATCAACTAATTATACTCTCATATTTATGTTAGATAAATTTGTTAAATATGCTGATAATGAACTTAAAAAGGACTCAGCAACTTTACCAAATTCCCAACTTCGAAATTTACAAACCTTCATATTGGATTTGGAAACTGTATATGCAGATTATTTAACAAATGATTGTTTGAAATTGTTAGAGGTTTGTAACGATTATTTTGTCAAAATTTTTAAATGAAAATTATAAAACGAAAATATCTTGTTTCATTCAATAGGAATGTGTAAAAACCGAAACTCCAATGATGCAAAGAAAGGGAGGAGCTGATCATCTCTTGGAACGATTCAAAATACAAATTAAAGAATTTTGGCATTCTGTGATACAGTCTATGAGTGTAATTATTTAGTTAACGGTTTATTTAAAAATTTTTTTTTAAAAAAAAACATAACGTAATTATTATATTATATATAGGGATATGTGGCATCGGTTCATCCGGCTCCTGTAACACAATCACCACCGCCAATCATAGTATTGATGATGTCACGCGTTTTATTGGATTTTGGAGAGATTATTGTGATGCAAGTTTACTTGGCATTCTCTAACGGACTGTATAAACAACAATCAGACCAAAGAAGAGAATTTGGCGTTGAAATGTATAATGGATTTGGTGAAAAATACACTATTGCAAAGGAATTGGTTCATGACGTTAGAGAAATTATTGGAATTTGTAAAGATGTTGCTCAGGCAATTACAATTTATGCTGATTTCTATATTCTTATATTGCGTTGTTGAAGTATTTGAATTTAATGAATTTTTTAATTTATTTGATATTTTAATTTATCTAGAGAATATTGGAGACATATGTTGAAATTAAAGGAAATCAAGTTTCTGCAAAAATAAGAGACATTTATATTCCAAATGTTATACAAAAACAATTCGAAAAAACTAATAAGTCGTCAATTCCTGAAAGGGTCACTTCAATTTGGAGCGAGATTATAACTGATTTGGTGTATATCGAAAAAGATGTAGTAGTATTATATGGTGGTCCAATTGACGAAAATAAAGAAGTCGTTGAAGATTCTGTTGGTATGCCATAATACATATGCTTTATTTATTCTTTAGTTTCATATGTCTTAGACATTTATTTATTTATTTATTTTTCAGAACAAAGTTTAAATCCATTTTTACAGTCTGGTACAAGTTCTAATACTGGTGGTGGTGGCGACAAATCACTTTTATCACCGAACACAGCATTAGTTAAATCGCCATATGCACATTCAAATTCGTCTCATTCTTCAATGAATTCTACAAGATCTAAATCACCAAATCCTTTTACAAGTTCAGTGCAACTAACTTCGCATATTGATAAATTATTTAGCGACAGAATTGAAATTTATAGTATCGTTGAAATGAGTATTATTGGTATTATGACGGGAATCGTAAAAATTTTATTAAAGGTAAGTATTAAAGAAAGGTCTCTATATACATATAGGGTGTAGAGATTGTAAAATTTAAATTATTATTATTATTATTATTTTAAAAAAATATTAAAGACGTGGATTGAAATGATTCGATTAAATACTTTGACAAACAACTCATTTCAACAAATTCAAGTCGATTCTGAGTATATGAGAGTCAAATTATGGAGATTTATAGAGGATGAAAGGTTACTTTCTAAAAAGCTTTTTTTTAAAATAAAAAAAAATTATTTTAAATATTTATTTGAAAAAATTAATATTTTTAGGATGATGAATACTATGTTACAAGAATTGGCATCAAGTGCCTTTCGAAGGTGTTTCGAAGATCCTTTGCCATTAGTTTATGCTGTAAGTAATATTATTATTTCATTTGACATGCAACAATTATTTAAGATTAATTAATTGAATTTAATACATTAATATTTGTTAGGATATTGAAATGATTGTCAATGGATCGGTTTCATATTAAATGAATAAATGTATGTATAATAATTGAACATTTATTTATTATAATGAAAGTGAGGTGGTGTACCGTTTGTCATTCTAAAGGGAATTTATTGAGCAAGAGATTTATATTAATAATGATATAGTATTCGAAATGAGACTTAGATTTAAGGTGTTCTGAAATAAATGCATTTAATATTTATTATTGTTAGATTGACATGAAATGAATAAGCTGATTGTTTAGATATTATTAAAAATATCCTCCTTTAAAAAGGTGAATTGTAGGAAAAAATGTTAAATAAAACTATTTACAATTAATAAGGAACCAAATATTTCAAAAAAAAATACCATTGTTGTCATACAAAATGGCAAAAAAAAAAATTTTTTTATAATCAACCAATACTTATTCTAAAAGGAAAGATAATACCAACTTCTTTAATTATGCCCTATATATATATATATAAAACTCAACAATATGATATTACAAAGATAAATCATTCTAATTCATTCTTTTAATATTCCTCTCGTAATTTATTTTGTATGGCGCCACGAATTTCTTCAAATATATGACACGCTGCAGCATTACATAACTCATAACAATCAAAATACTAGAATGATAATAAAAAAAGTATTTATATTATTGTTCAACGACAAATAAATAGATATCTTATAATTTTTTGAACTCACCTGTCCTTCGGTAAATAATCCCAAGGATTCACAAAATAATAGGGTAGATGATGTTCTATCAAATGCAAAAGTATGAATAGATTTTGCATTTTCCATTTCTAGTGCTGTAGGATCCAATAATAATTGATCATCTTTATTTATAACGCAAGAAACAGCCGCAACGAGATCTTTCATTGGAATTCCTGCATCGATTAAAGCGATCGTAGTTGCATTTATTGCAGCTGCCACGATCTAATCAATCAAGGGATCAAAATAAGTAAAAAATGATACAACACTTTTATAATATCAAAAAAAAAAAATAAAGTAACGCATATTTACACTTCCATCATCCATCATCACTTGTGAAACAATTTGAATTTGTGTCCTTGGGTGTAATCCGGCTTGAATAACATTCTCAAATGTTGAACGTAAAATATATTCATGAGTTCTATCCTTTGTCCCTGCATTTTAAATAATTGTTGATTGGGATTTTTAATTAGAACAACATAATTCAATTCATTTCAAATTCAATTTACCTGTTGTGCCAACTAAAGGTCTAACAATCACATCAATGGTAGCTTTATCCAATTTTTCGTCTCGTAATTTAACTTCAGCTGGACCATTTATTGAACAAAGTACGGAAGAATTACCTAAAGGGAATGACCATTAATCTTGGTAATAAAGCTATGTCAAAGATATAAATAAGGAGAATTACCGAAATTAAATCTAGCAGAACCATCTCTACTAAGGAGACTTTGATCAATTGAAATGGGACGAATTGTAGTGGAAGAGCGTCTATCAGTCCGCATTGCCATTATGTAATAATATTTAATCCTCAAATCTGGGAGAATTTGGAAATTTATCCATCATTATCACGTGTTTATTGATTATCTTCAGGACCAATGAAAGTTCATAACTTTTAAACTTTTTTTTTTTTTTTTCCGCATGATAAAATCAAAATGAGTTCTTTCAAAAAACGAGTTCAAACCAATCAAACGAAAATTCCACAAGGAACACGTTTATCACCATATAATGGACAATTATTAATTTCTACTGGAGTACCATCACTTGATGATATCCTTTTAATCAAATTCAATCAATGATGAACGAACGACTTGAAAATTATTTAGTTATACCTTGACTTTTATAAAATTATTTTCAAACATATTCTTGGTGGAGGTATACCAATCGGAAGTGTATTATTAATAAAAGAGGATCGACATACGGAGTATGCTCGATTACTTTTAAAATACTTTTTAGTACAAGGAATAGTATCTGGACATCATGTTTTGTTAAGTACGGCAGAAGAGAGAGAACCAAAAAATTTTATAATGGGATTGCCTTGGTTATCAAATGACACTGATGATAGTGGCGTTGATGATGATGACAATACCACCGAATTAGAAGAGAAA